ATAGAGAGAGAGAGAGAGAGAGAGAGAGAGAGACAAAGAGAGACAAAGAGAGAGAAAGAGAGAGAGACAGAGAAAGAGAAACAGAAACAGAGACAGAGAGCGAAAAAACTCAAAAAACTCAAATAAAAGTGTTCAAAGATATGAAATTTAAGCATTTTATCATAAACTCATTCAAGTGTCATCAGCATCAATGAAATGAACAAATGTGAAAGCACGCATTCCTGCTCGTTATCCCACCGCATGTCCCCGTTCTCCCTCCCACTTTAGCTCCTCCCTCTCTTACTATTCTCACTTGAACACCAGCTAATGCATATGCGACCACAAAGAAAAAACACGCTATTCATCTACATCGTCCTGCCCACAAACCTGCCTTCTTCGTTCTTCCATTGCGAACTTCTCGTCATCATCAACAACAGCATCTCCATGGGGATAAAGGTTTGTCGTGTTGTCACACGTAGCTGTAACAACCGTCAAATCATTTATCTTTCTATACTCCCCCTTTGTTAAATGGCTTAGGCGGCCACACTTTGGACATCGACGCCTCAGAGCTTCAACCAATGCAAGCACCACCTCATGCAATCTCGTCTCATGCTTTTTATTTATGCTCGCGAGAGCATTCAATTCCTTTTTTACATGGCTCATGTCCTTCATAACCCGCATCGGCGAATGAGCAGCAATGATATTTGCTAACAAAATTCTGAGGCTATACAATTGTTCCTTGTAACTCGCCATAATGTCCCCCTTCAGTCCCTCACCACACTGATCCGAGAAACTATGTTCAAACACAGCGTCCATTAACTCTTGTCGTGCGTCCTTGTACAATTGTCCGAGAGTAACAACTGTCGCTCTCAACTGGCTATCGCTTACCGGAAAACTCATTGTATTTTGCACCTCCAAAAGCACATTTCTATGCGCAAGCTCCACACCAACTGTTCGCAATGATTGCAACATACCAATCAAAGAACTTTTCGAAAACTCTTCTAAAGTTCGACCGAATTGGAGCTCAAACACCTCTGATGCAAAAGAAGGATCAATCGATGGCAAGGCACCTGCCGACAACAATTTTCTCAATCCACTCTCCGCTGTTTCACAGCGCATACGCAAATACTCACACTCTTGGGACAGATGTGGATCAACTTTAGTACTAAGCTCGGCAACTTGGTCAAGCAAGTCATTTCTAATCGACGATTGGATCAAAGACGTAAGTTGGTTGGCAATGTCCTCGCCAACATTCTCCTCCTTCTTCCCATCCACACTACCAGACAAAGACCAACCTTTCCAGGAAACTTTCAAGCACTGACCGTGCATTTACCTCAATTTTTGCGAATGCACTCCTTAGGGCAGTCACTTCCTCCTCCTTCTTCTTTAACGTCCTAAACAACTCGTCCTGAGTTCACCGAAGGCCTTCACTGTCAGTCAAATAGCGGCCGCATTCTCCTTTCAATCTGGAATCGTTCGGAACCTTACCTGCAATACCATAAGGCAATTTAGACTCACGCTGAAGCAGACGCTGCTCCATATCATGAATTTGCGAAACCATGCCATACTCGTATCGTTCACTGCATTCCTCAAGATATTTTCTCTCCGTGCGAGCATCGGCGAGTCATTTCCATATAGACCATCCCCATCACTACGTGCCCGAATTTGCCTCAGCACATCGGAC